GGCGGGAAGGGTGCCCAGGTTTCCGTGGAGGCCGGGGCCGGCCAGCGAGCCCTGCGGGGAGGGCCGGTCTCGCGGCCCGGCCTGCAGGTCCAGGCCGGTGCGGTGGTGGGGCAGCATGAAGTGTCTGGTGACGGGTGGCAACGTGAAGGGTGAGTCCGGGCGACGGGACGTGTGCGACGGGCCGGGCGGCAGCCTAACCCTTCTCCCGTCTCCTCCTGCAGTACTGGGCAAGGCGGTCCACTCCCTCTCCCGCATCGGGGACGAGCTCTACCTGGAGCCCTTGGAGGATGGGGTGAGGAGCTGCGTCTAGCCGCTGTGCCCCGGCCTTGTCGCTGGCAGTTCAGCCCACTTCAGGGCGCCCGCGGCGCATTGGGGGGTGACTGCGCCCTGGTGGTGTCCTGGGCTGTGCTTGGGCTGCTAACCACAAGGTCAGCAGTTTGAAACCACCAGCCAGTAACGAGTGACAGTGGTGGAAATCCCCAGGGGCAGTTCTACCTTACTCTGTAGGATCCCTATGAATTGGGAGTTTGGTTTTGAGCCTTAGAGATAGGCTGCGTCTGGAGGGAGTGGGGGACTGGGGTACAGGCAGGGTCAGGGAAGACCTCCCAGGAAAGGACCACCATGTGAGGTGGAAGCCAGGGGATTTTGTGGTGCTGGTGGAGGTGGGCGAGTCCTGTGTGGCTCAGCAGTCCGTGCTGATGAATTACTAAGGTTGGCAGATTAGACCTATCCTGGGGCACAGAGCAAGAAAGGCCTGGCAGTCAGCTCTGGAACAATTACAGCCATGGAAACCACGTGTGTGCCACAGTTACTTCTACGCTGCGCAGGGTGGCCTGGATTCGGCCTGGGCCCCACAGCAGTAGGTGTGCTGTGTGGGGAGGACATCAGGGCAGCTGCATGAGCAGAAGCAGCCCAGGGCACCGGCCTGGGGCTGGCCCTGACTGGGCTCTGCTGTCCCCTCCCCCTGCTTCACCTGGCCCAGCTGTCCCTCCGGACCGTGAACTCCTCCCGCTCGGCCTACGCCTGCTTCCTCTTCGCCCCACTCTTCTTCCAGCAGTACCAGGTGGCCACCCCTGACCAGGACCCAGCCCGCTGCAAGGTCCTGATGAAGGTAAGACCTCTCTCGGCAGGAACATCCACTTGCAGGGCCTCTGCTCTGGGCATCGGGCGCCAGCGGATGGGAAGGGAGCCAGGGGTCCAGTGAAGACCTCCCCCAAGGGTAGTGGCTGACTGCCAAGGAAGTAAGGCTCCAGCCCTCCAGCCAGGAGAACAGCATGCCCCAAGGCGTGGCCATGAAAGTCCCTGTCCGGGTTGGTGGGCTAGGCTTCAGGAGCTTGGGGCGGCAGGTGCAGCCCCTGCTTGTGTGTCCTGCCCAGTCATTCCTGTCGGTCTTCCGTTCGCTGGCGATGCTGGAGAAGACCGTGGAAAAGTGCTGCATCTCTCTGAACGGCCGGAGTAGCCGCCTGGTGGTCCAGCTGCACTGCAAGTATGGTGAGTGGGCAGCGCTGCCCTGGGGGGCCAGGCCAGGGAAGTGGCCTCTGAGACCCTCTCTGCCCACACAGGGGTGAGGAAGATCCATAACCTGTCCTTCCAGGACTGCGAGTCCCTGCAAGCCGTCTTTGACCCAGCTTCATGCTCCCATGTACTCCGCGCCCCGGCCAGGTGAGCAGCCCACCTCAGCGTGGCCCTCTGCCTCCTGCAGGTGTGGTTTCGGTTGCACTAGAAGGGCAGTCGCATGTCTGAGCAGAGGGTGCCCAGAGGCCCTCCACTTTCCCACTGTCTCTATAGCCCTAGAGTCACCCCTACCACCCTAGAGACTGACGGAGCTCTGGGCTCTCCTCGGGCTTCATCTCATCTCCCTTCTCAGGAGCACTCACTCTGACCAGAGCAGCCTGGAGGCCACCCGCCTCCCTTGGTGGCTCAGGGGTTTGGGCCTGGTCATCATTGGGGGGGGGGGGTGTCCACCCCCATTGGAGGGAGGGCTCTCACAGACACCTGCCCTGACACTGGCCTCCTGGCATCCCCAGCACCACCAGGCGGCTAGGTGAGAGATTGTAGACCCAAGAGGGTGGCATGTTCTGGGCCATCCCGCACCAGCGGGGCTTCGGGGAGAGGGAGTTGGGCCCACAAGGAAGGCAGGTGGTCCCCTGGTGAGGACCAGCTGAGCAGGGAGTGGCCACAGTCCATTCATTTCTCTTGGTAGTCTGAGGACGTGGTGACATAAAGGTCCAGGAGACAGCTGCCTGCTCAGGACCCCCAGGAGAGAGGGAGGGGCAGGCTTCCCCTTCCGGTTGAAGCTTTGCCAAAGTTGGAAGCTCTCCTCTGAGGAAACCAGTGTCTCTCTTTTTCTCTTGCTGTTTCAAGCCCAGACAGAAGTAGAGTGAAATCAATAGCCCATCCCCTGATACCATCACCACCACCACCACCACCCCCCACCCACCGTGTTTTTGAGGCCAGTGGCAGCTGTTAGTGCCTATGCAAATGTTGGTCAACATGTGTCCCTCAGGAGGAGCCCTGCTGGGGTAGGGAGTTACCTGTGGCCTTGCGACCCAGACCCACAAGGTCAGCAGCGCAGCCGGGAACCACCAGCTGCTCCGCGCCGATTAAGATTCACAGCCTGGGAGTGTGCGGGTGGAGGGGTGGTGGTGTGCAGTTCCACTCTGCCCTAGTGTCACCACGAGTCAGCAATGACTCATCAGCAGGGAGTTTTGTGTGATTTCCCCAAGGCAGGAGTTTTGGGGTCTTTGTGGGGCAGTGGCGCTCAACTTTCCTAATGCTGCAACCCTTTAATAGAGTTCATGTGGTGGTGACCACCCCCAACCATAAAATTACTTTTGTTGCTACTGTTATGAATCAAAGGGGTCGCAACCCACAGGTTGACAACCACTGTTCTGGGGGGCTGTTGGCCGGGATGGCACAGGTGTGATTTCCCCCTTCCCTGGGTGCCACCCCTGCGTGCCAGGGGTGGCCTGCCTCATTCAGCCCACAGAGACCCCAAGCTGTTCATCTGGCACCCTATCCCACCTTCTAGTAGGTCCGACCTGGCCCAGCCCGCCGAGAGGCTGGTGTGGCCACCCAGCCTTGGGTCCTGGGTGGTGGCCAGCCTGGGTGTAACGCTGCCTCCTCCTCACTCAGGGTCCTGGGGGAGGCTGTCCTGCCCTTCCCCCCTGCTCTGGCTGAAGTGACACTGGGTGTTGTCCGGGGCCCCAGGGTGATCCTTCGCAGCTACCTGGAGGAGGAGGAGGCAGTGACAGGTGAGGTAGCCGGCCTGGGGTGGGCGCAGTCCTGGGTTGGGGGTGGGGCCCAGCATCACCCTCTCCCGCCCTCACAGCCGGTGTCCTCAGACCCATGGTGACCGAGATGAGCCTCCGAGAGGAGGACTTCCAGGAGCTGCAGGCCCAGGAAGGGGTGGCCATCACTTTCTGCCTCAAGGAATTCCGGGTAGGGGGGGGGTACCCCTGATCCACCCTGGCCTGGGTCTCCCTGCCTTGGCCCAACTCTCTAGCCCAACCCCCCATCCCACCCCTATCCCTTTTGCTTCCTTCCAGGGGCTTCTAAGTTTCGCAGAGTCCACAAATCTGTCTCTCAGCATTCACTTTGATGTGCCAGGCAGGTAAGTCCCACCTGGGGACCAGATGGGAGTGCTCCGGGGGCCCCAGAGACCTGCAGACTCTGAGCATCCTCACTCGGTATCACCTGCCCAGGCCGGCCATCTTCACCGTTGAAGACTCGCTGCTGGACGGCCACTTTGTCCTGGCCACGCTCTCAGAGCCGGACTCACAGCCACAGGGCTTGGGCACCCCGCAGCTACCAGCACCTCCGCTTCAGGCTCCCAGGTGAGGGGCCACCTCCCTCTGCCCTGGCTGTGCACCCAGCCTAGCCCTGCCCCTCCCCATACTTCCTGGCAGGCCCCACAGCCTGGGCTCCCAGCTCTGCAGGTTCACATGGTCAGCTGTGCTCAGAGACCCCTCCCACCCAGGGAAGGCCCCTCGCACCCCACAGGCCAGCCAGGCTGCTTCCTTTGCTGCTGGAGGGAGGCCTTCCTCTGCACCCCACCCAGGCTGAGGAAGGAGCTGGCTGCAGGAGGCAGGTGGGCTGGGAGGCTGAGCCCAGTGCAGCTTAGGCTGAGGAAGTCTGGGCTGGCCCCTGGCCCGGCATGTCCCTGGGCCCCAGTGAGTTCCAGCTCTGCCCCCTGGGAAAGGGGCGGGTTTGAGGCCCCCGGTGGCCCAGCTGGCAGGGCTTGCTGTTCCCCTCCCCCAGCAGGCCCCACTGGCCCTGAGGCAGGCCTCTACCTGAACCCTGATCACACAGACTCCTCTCCCTCCCTCCAGGAAGCCGCCACTTAACCCTGGCTTCCTTTCCCTTCCCAGCAAATCAGGAAGCCATAAAACCAGCTCACCAGAGCCCAGGGGCGGGCTGCAGCCCCCTGGAGCCTGGAAGGGGGGGGCCCTGCCTCTAGCCTCCATTCTCTCTCTCTGCTTCTGGTGACGCAGCACACCCCACCTGGACGACTTCACTAGCGATGACATCGACTCCTTCATGATTGCCATGGAAACCACTGTGGGCAGCGATGCCTCAAGGGCACAGCTGCCCCCCTCCCTCTCCCCAGGCCCCCAGCCACCCTGTAGCCCAGATTCAAACTCAGAGGAGGCCGAGCCCAGCACAGTGCCTGGGACCCCCCCACCAAAGAAGGTAGGGAGGTGCTGGAAGGAGTGGGTGGCAGATGGGAGGAGGGGCCACCTCCAGAACTCATGGAGTGTTCTTTGTTCTTCCAGTTCCGTTCCCTCTTCTTTGGCTCCATCTTGGCCCCCGCCTACTCCCCACAGGGCCCCAGCCCTGTGCTGGCTGAAGACAGCGAGGGTGAGGGCTGAGATGGCCCCAAGAGGCCTTAGGAACCTGGACGAGGTCAAAGGCAGCCTCCCCCACCCACTGCTGGGCCTTGTCCAGTTGTTGGGGTCGCTTGGAGCTTATCTTCTCTGACCCCAGCCAATCATGTCTGCTCCAGGCCCAGTGCTGACTGTCATGAAAGCCCATGCCTTCAGTCACCAGGGGCCTCCGGCCTCAGGCCACCAGTCTGGCCTGGGCTGAGTCCCAGTGGGACTGTGGCATGAGAGCTCCATCTCTTATCGTGACTGTGCCCCCTGGCACGCCCCCGCCCCCTACACACACACACTCTTTTTCTGCTTTCCTAACACCAGGGCCCTGTCTTGGCATTCGAACTGCCTATGTGGTCTGTGTGTGTGGCCAGGGCCCAGTGCCCGGCAAGGCTTCCCTCCCAGTGGCAGATGGCCTGCCAGGACAAGGGAGACAGAGGCCAAGGCAAGAATCCAGCTTTGATCTTTATTCAAGAGACCAGACGGCTCGCTCGCCCCAGGATCCGGCTGCCAGTCCCGAGGGCCCAGTCTGTGGGGCCTACGGCTTGGCGTGCCTCCTTTTACCCTGAGCTGCAGCCTCAGCCCCAAGCCCCGGCTGGAGCCCAGCAGGCGCAGGGAACCCTGGGGATTGGGCACTGCTATTGATTCATTAAAAAACAAAACAAAAAACAGATCGAGGCTCCACGTTCCTGGGGCAGGTAAGCCCAAGAGGCTGGCCTTCCCCATGTGGCAGGGTGTTTCCATACAATCCAGCGTCTGGGTCAAGTGCAGGGACTACTTTTTGGCTTTGGCAGAATTGCGGGGTGGGGTGATAGGCCGGCCACCAGGGTTTAGGCCACTGAACTGCCCATATTTCCCCTTGTTCTTGTCGGCGGGCTTGAGGATCTACGGGAGACGGGACCAGTCAGGACGCCCATGGCAGGCCCACTCCAGCACCCCCTGGAAGAGCAAGCAGCCCCCTCCCTCACCTGGAAGGAACACATGAGCGTCTCGTCCACACTCATCATGGCTCCGGCATTATCAAACTCGCCGCAGTAGTTGGGAGCTGAAAAGAGTGTCACCAGCTGCCGCTTGGCAAAGAACTCGTAGCCATCTTCTACCACCTAGACAGAGGCAAGAGCAGTGAGCGCAGGGCCCGCCCGTGCCACATGCTGCCTGCCCGCACCCGCACGCCCACCTGGTGCGCCCGGCAGATGAGGTCCAGATCATGCTTGTGTAGGAACTTGGCCACCACCTCGGCCCCGAAGGTGAACGAGACTCCACGGTCGTTCTCTCCCCAGCCCTGCACGTCCTTGTCAGGGTCCGACCACAGCAGGTCGCACAGCAGGCCCTGGTCAGGCACGTCTGTGGGCCGCATGATGCGCCGGATCTGCTCCATGGACTGCAGGTCCGGGGACAGGCCTGCGGGGTGCAGGCAGGTCAGCACCACTAGGGAGGAGCACCCCCTTTAGCCTCCCAGCCCTGGTTGCTGTGTGCTGGTGAGGCTGGGGAGGGGAGGGTATCCCAGTCCTCTGGAGATGGGAGAGAGGCAAACACCACCACACTGAGATGCGACCCAAGAGTGGGGCACTGAGGACTTCCTGGAAGAAGTGGCATCTCACAACCGGGCCCAACGCCCAGGCAGCCAGGCCTCACCTCCATGGCAGCAGAAGATCTTCTCGTCCACAATGGCTGCGATGGGCAGGCAGTTGAAGCAATCAGTGAAAGTTTTCCAGAGTTTGATGTTGTAGCGCCTCTTGCCTGCGTGGAAGAAAGGCCCAGCGTTCAGGAGGCTATCTGCCATGCCCACCCCCCACCCCGGGTCTCTGCCCCCCACCTCAAATGGCATGGTGTGGGGCACCTAAAAGGTGCGTCCCTGCCCACAGCCTCCCGGGATGTAGTTCTAAAGCAACAGTTTCCATAAGAACCCTGGAGTTCCATCCGGGACCTCAGGGTTGGAGCATCCTCCCCACTCCACACCCCCTTCATGCAGCACCAAAGGCAAGACCCATTCTAAGTCAGCCCAGCTCCTGGCCAACAGAGGTCCACCCAGACAGGCTTCCACACCCTCACTTATCGTCATGAGCCAAGCAGAGCTCCCAGGAAAAGCCCTGGAACTGGTTCCACGGGGCAACCCTTCACCAAGCCCCTCCAGAATCCCCTCCAGACCTGCCCTACCCAAGGCCCTGCCTGCCCAGGGGTGCAGTCTAGCGGGAGTGAGGGCCCCACGCAACAGAGGGGAAGGGGCACGAGGGCCCACTGACACTCGTCATAGAAGCCATAGATGCGGTTGATGCTGGCACACTCGTGGTTCCCCCGCAGCAGGAAGAAGTTCTCTGGGTACTTGATCTTGTAAGCCAGCAGCAGGCAGATGGTCTCCAGCGACTGCTTGCCGCGGTCCACATAGTCACCCAGGAAGAGGTAGTTGCTCTCTGGGGGGAAGCCGCCGTACTCAAACAGCCGCAGAAGGTCGTAGTATTGGCCGTGGATGTCACCTGTGACCCAGGGAATTGGGTCAATGCCAGGTACGGGGCCCGGGATGGGCCCAAGGAGGAGGGACCCAGGAGCACGTGTGAGCAGTGCCACTGCAGGGGGGCTCACCGCATATCTTCAGAGGAGCTTCCAGCTCCAGAAGGATGGGTTGGCTCAGGAAGATCTCCCGAGACTTGAGGCACAGACCTCGGATCTCGTTCTCCGTCAGTTGGACATTCTTTCCGGGCCGAGAGCCTTGCACTGGGGAACAACAGGGGGGCTCAGGACCCTGTCCCTTCAGGCAGGAGAGTGGGCGACAACGACAGCCCCAGGGGACCCCCTCCTAGTCCAGGAGCAGTTGTTGCCGAGTCTCCCGGGCACCTCCGTCCTGTGCCCCTCAAGGCAGTCCCTCAGTGCCCACAGGCCCTCCAACGGGGGCTGA